CTTCCATCCCCCTTTTCTCTTCTTACAAACAAGGCCATAGAGGACCTTGCAAGGAATGAAAAAAAAACACACACACACAACATTATCTCTTTTTTTTTCTTTTTTTCTTTTTTTAAAGAGATGACAAGTATATATCACATGAAACAATCTTATTTAAGAAATATAGAATTAGTGAAAAAAAGTTGGACTAGCTCTCTAAAATTTTAAAATAAGAATTAAATATGATTTAGTTGTCCAAATTTTTTAATTTTTTAATTTTTAGTTTTTGAATAATTTTTTTCAATAAATTTTAGTTCATGTACTTTTGAATATTTCACTTGTAATCTTTCAGCTTTTTATCTTGTTAATATTTTGGTCCTTGAAATAAATAAAAAAAGTTGTTCATAAAAAAAAATTGAGACTAAACTAAATCAAAATTGACCATAAATGACACCAAACCAACTCAAAACAACATTGGAAGCATAAAAATTATAATCACTCAAGTTACTCAAGAACACCATTTCAATAGCACTTTTAACAACACCTTTGAATTATAACATTTACTAATTTAGTCATATAATTGGTGGATACAGACAACAATAGTAAACATTTCCCATAGCAAATTAAATGACAAAATTTCGCTTACCTCTAGTCAATCGGTCAATAAGAGGACTTTATATGACTTTGACTTGAGATTTTTATCTTTGGGAGCTCGAATCTCCAACTAGGCAAATGGATTAGCTATAGGAGGGAAGAAGGAAAAAGGTTTTAATTAAAAGAAAAAGAGGATTTTTTCGGATTCTATAGAGTTTTTCTTTAATTTTTCTTAAAATATTAACTGATGAAATTGTCTTAAGAAAAACTCTTATATCATTTATAAAACTGAACCAACTTAATTATATTTAACTTACATTAGAGACAACTTAACTCTTCAGAGTCACTTGACTTTAAAAAAACTAAACTAACCAAACAATAACATAATAATATTTACTCATATATCACCTGTAATTAAAATAAACACCACAAATTTACAGTGTTACAGTATTACTTTGTGTTAAAAAAGAAAAGTCCAAAATAAATTGCGTTTAGTAATTTTAGAAACTAATATAATTTTTTCAATTTAAAAACTGAAATTTATGATTCATAAAATTTCTAAATAATGTAGAAATTTAGTTGGTATTTTGCAATAGTCATGAATTTATTCAACAATAATTTATGTCTTAAAATATTTTATGAAAATTAGTAATATTTCACTTTTGTTTACACATATTATACGATCATTAAATAGTGCAATATATATATATAATATTATTGGTATATAAAAAGCAATTATTTACATATTATATTTTAAAAAAATCACTCTATCCTTTAAAATTTGTAAAAATTAATGTATTACTTTTAAAGTTTAACTTTTGTGCACGATCTATGAGTATCGGTATAATTTATTTTACATCATTAATTTATAAAGTTTCATCATACATACAACTTAAGCTAGTTAATATAAAAGTTAATAAAGTTATCAAATTGTCAAATATGATAGAATAATAGTGTAAAAAAAATTACACGGTAAAATCATAGATTATTTATTCTAATTTTTATAATTACATTATAAATATGGTATGAACTATAATATGGTATGAACATGAATCGTTAAATAATTTGTTATTACTAGTCGTAACAATATTATATAAAAAAATTAACAATTCGCCTTAAATCGGTTAAAAAACTAGCATTAAAATAATTTATAAATGAATTGCATCTCAATTTTTTTAAAATATAATGTTTTGTTTATGTTCCGGCTAAAGGGTGGACTAGGGTTTTTTCCTAGATCGTGCTTTAGAGCCAGAGCATTCAAAAGTGTAATCTGCGTTCTCAACTCTAGGATTTTTTCTTTTATAGCTTCTTGTTTACGGGCTTTATGGGTCCAGAGAATGTAGGGATCTCCTTAACCGTTTTGAGCTGGCTAATATTTGGTGAGGGACAGTGGGACCTTGCCCTTGCTATCGGGTAGTCCCTGTATGCGAGAGTTGTGTCGGCCCCCGACCGACCATACCTGTACTGAGGGTACAGTCGGGTATTGGCCGAGTTGGTTCTTGTAAGCGGAAGGAATCGGAAATATACAGTCGGCCTGGCATATCAGCGAGAGCTACAGTCGGCTTGACATACGTAGTAGGCAGGTCGGAATCCGACCTGGACCGTACACTAGCCCTCCAGCGCTGAGCCTATAAGGCGGAAGGGCTTTGCTAGACAGGTGGTCGGCTTAGCCATGGCCGACATGTCCCTCGTGGAGGCCCCTAGTCAGATTTCGTCCTGGACCGTACATTAGCCCTCCAGCCTTGAGCGTGCAAGGCGAGAAGGCTTATCCTCAGCCGATACATACAGTCAAATTCTTGTTGAGCACACTTTTATGGCTAAGGCAAGGGACAGACCAAGAAGATTCACAGACTCGTTATCTCAATTCGTGGCTCCTCGGGCTCTGGTAGGGGATGTGAGAAAATTCACCCAGTTAAAAAGCTTCAAATGGAGTAGTCGGTTAACTATCCGACTCAGTCACCTTGGGTCACCGAAATACCGAGTCGAAATTCACCAAAATCAAGTCGCCTAATTTCTGACTATAAATGATGAGTAAATTTTTTTTGTTACAATGAAATTTGACAATCCGATCGGCGAATACCAACTCACAAAATGAGTGGAAAATTTTTCGAGTTAAAATGAATCCAACTAATAGCCCCCATGCCCACCATTCCGAGAGTGAAATAAAAAGATGTTCTTCTAGCTAAGATGTGGCGTTTTTGGCCGAGGTGTGGGACATGATAAGCCTACGGGTCAGACAAATGCCGATCTCCCTAGAATGATTTAGTATTTTGGGTGTTCTCTGATGAGTTTTGCTTCCCCCTAGTTCGGATTTTTACCGAGCGATCATGAATTTGTGTCTTCGAGTTATTTTATACTCGCCCAGTCGAAATTTAACCGATCGCTCACGAGTTTGGTTTTCGAGTTATTTATACTCGTCCAGTCAGATTTTTACCGATCAATCACGAGTTTGGTCTTCGAGTTATTTATACTCGCCCAATCAGATTTTTTACCAATCAATCACGAGTTTGGTCTTCGAGTTATTTATACTCGCCCAGTCGGATTTTTACCGATCAATCACGAGTTTGGTCTTCGAATTATTTATACTCGCCCAGTCGGAATTTAACCGATCGATCACGAGTTTGGGAATTTAACCGATCTATCACGAGTTTGGTTTTCGAGTTATTTATACTCGCCCAGTCGGATTTTTACCGATCAATCACGAGTTTGGTCTTCGAGTTATTTATACTCGCCCAGTCGGATTTTTACCGATCAATCACGAGTTTGGTCTTCGAGTTATTTATACTCGCCCAGTCGGATTTTTACCGATCAATCACGAGTTTGGTCTTCGAGTTATTTATACTCGCCCAGTCGGATTTTTACCGATCAATCACGAGTTTGGTCTTCGAGTTATTTATACTCGCCCAGTCGGATTTTTACCGATCAATCACGAGTTTGGTCTTCGAGTTATTTATACTCGCCCAGTCGGATTTTTACCGATCAATCACGAGTTTGGTCTTCGAGTTATTTATACTCGCCCAGTCGGATTTTTACCGATCAATCACGAGTTTGGTCTTCGAGTTATTTATACTCGCCCAGTCGGATTTTTACCGATCAATCACGAGTTTGGCCTTCGAGTTATTTATACTCGCCCAGTCGGATTTTTACCGATCAATCACGAGTTTGGTCTTCGAGTTATTTATACTCGCCCAGTCGGATTTTTACCGATCAATCACGAGTTTGTGGTGCCTTCAAAATAACACATGTTAGAAATCATATAAGATAAATAAGGGATGATGTTTATTAGGATTCAGGAATTATTGGTTTGCGGTGCCTCATTAAAAACCTTCTCAGCAAAAAACCTTTTCACATTTTTATATGGAATAAAAATCTCTTGGAACGACCCCAGCTTCTCGGCTTTCAGCTGCCCTTTTGTTGATTTGTCCCTCATCTGTCTTGATGTGACTCAAGGCGAAAGCTCTCACCTCCGACATCGTTTGACAACTCGCTTTCTCTAGTGCGATGTCGAAAGCTCCAGACCTTAAGCCCTTCTGGAACGCGATGACTGCCATCCTTTCATCCAAGGATGCTATCCTTAAGGCGACCTCATTGAACCTTTGTAGAAAGTCCTTCAC